TTGCGGCTGACCCGCCTTTCACGAAGTCAGCTCCGTCTCTGTTCAGGCCACCACTAGCGGCGGTCTCACCATCACTCTCAACTTTTCCGGTTAACGCTCCTGAACCACCGCCAGATCCACTGCTATTGGCGCCACCCTTCTCAAAAAATCCTCCTATTCCATTGCCTACAAACACCTCAACTTCAGCCCTTTGCACGGTACTAAAATCCACCCAAACTGCACGAGCTTCGCCGCCAAATTCGCTGTTGACTCCACCCGTACCTCCACCGGAAAACCCATCACCGAAATCACCAATCCTTCCACCAGATATATGTTTTCCCGCAAAGCTCTCAAATCCGCAACCCAATTCGCCGTCAAAGTTTCCTGAACAACCATGTCTCCCATCCCGGTCTGCCTCGCATACAACTCCAGTTGGGTTGAGTGTGAAACCCTCTGGTAAAGTGCTCACCCCACTGCCAGATCTACACGCCACCGGGTCTTGCACTTTTTGACTCTTCAGGTGTACTACCTCGCTGCTGAACCAGGGACCACAACAGTAATCAGATTGTGTCGTCGTTGAACGGAACTGGCGGACCAATTGAACCTTCAATATCTGCCACCCATTGAATGGTAGCCACCTGTGTTCACATTTGAACCACTGTAACGCTTCGCCGCAAAGCCCGATGATGGCAACCTTGAGCTTCTCCTTTTCATTCAACTGGAAAAAATGAAAGTAATCCTAAATGCATTACACAAAGCTAATTTGATGTTATTTATTGCATTAAAATTGTATTTAACCTATAAATTTACATATTTAATTAAATAAATAAAAAAATAAAATAAAAATTTGGGGGGCCGGTGCCACCCAGGCCCCTTCATAGATCTCTGCCAATGGATGTAGGGGATATTTTTGAAAAATATTTAATGGCCAATTAGGGGATCAAAAATACTAACCTAGACTTGCTCAGTGCATGACTGCACATAGATAATATATACTACTAATTGAAAATCAGAAAAATTCATAAGATACCCAATTATGATATCTTGGATTATCAGTAGCTATATCAAATGCTGAAAGGCTCAGATCTTAGAAAAAAGCCTGTCCTTTCACTTAAGAAAATATCTGCATTTTACTTCCAGTTTTCCACCTCCATATATTTTTTTAATTTATATCACATTATTGAATATCTTATAGGTTGCATCAGCTTGTGCATTAGCAGCATACAAGCTTCGTCGTCCTGTGAGGATGTATCTCAATCGCAAGACTGATATGATAATGGCCGGAGGAAGACATCCTATGAAAATCACTTATAATGTGGGATTCAAATTGGATGGGAAGATCACAGCTTTACATCTTGAGATTTTGGTCAATGCTGGTATATCAAAAGATATTAGCCCAGAAATGCCCGAAAACATAGTGAATGGACTTAACAAATATGATTGGGGTGCTTTATCACTCGATATTAAATTATGCAAGACAAATCATACAAGTAAATCGTCAATGCGAGCTCCTGGTGAGTTACAAGGAGCATTTATTGCTAAAGCCGTGATTGAACATGTAGCTTCTACCCTTTCGATAGATGTTGATGTTGTTAGAGACCAAAACTTCCACACCTTTGATAGCTTAACTTTGTTCCGTCAGGGGGCTGCTGGAGAGCCGGGTGAATATACTTTACCCACAATCTGGGATAAGATAGCTTCATCGTCAAGCTTTAACCATATAAATGAGATGGTAAAACAGTTTAACAGCACTAATATTTGGCGTAAAAAGGGAATTTCCAGGTTACCCATTGTGCACAGTGTTTCACAAAGATCAACCCCTGGTAGAGTCAGCATACTCCGGGATGGGTCAATTGCTGTGGAAGTAGGAGGGATTGAGCTTGGTCAAGGTCTATGGACTAAAGTAAAACAGATGGCTGCATTTTCTCTGAGTTTGATCAATTGTGCTGGAAGTGATGATCTTTTGGATAAGGTACGAGTAATACAAGCAGATACATTAAGCGTGGTACAAGGAGGGTATACTTCAGGAAGTACTACTTCCGAGTCTAGCTGTGAAGCCGTAAGAATCTGCTGCAATACTTTGGTTGAAAGATTAACCCCTCTCAAGGAGAGTCTGCAGGAAAAAATGGGGTCGATTAACTGGGAGACACTTATTTTTCAGGTAAGTACTTGTTTAAGATCCCCAATGATATCCTCAGATGCACAATTATTCTTTATAAGTTTGGCTGACTACGAGTAGGGAAATCTATTACTTAAAAGGCCAAATGATCAATCACTACAACTTTTGTATTGTTACTTTTTCCGTCACAAACGTGTTAGTCTCTCTGCTTGTTTCTTTGATGTATACTGTCAGCCAAAATAAAATTGAAGTTTCTTTGATGAACATTAATTAAACACTTCTAATTTCTAAATCAGTAATAAATAAGTTTTTTGCAATAATCAGATATTGAGCAACATGGAATCATCAACCAGGCATAAAAAGAAGTCAGTTTTTATATGATGTTGAATACAAACCTCACAGTTTGTTAATTGCAGGCAGGCTTACAATCAGTGAATTTGTCGGCTGGCACCCTTTACAAACCCGATATGACTTCCATGCAGTATCTGAACTATGGAGCTGCTGTTAGTGAGGTAAAATTTGTTAAAAACAGCCTTGTATAAGTCTCCCCTTTATTCAAAAGTAGTTTTACATACAATTGCCCTTCCTCAAGCAAGCTTCATTCTGCCTGGAAAGAAGTAATAGGAAATAAACTAAAGGATTGCCTGATCCTTTTTTCCGAGGACTATTTTTTTTTCTTATGATTATACTTTCCTTCTACAGGTAGAAGTGAATCTCCTCACGGGAGAAACTACTATTTTGCGGTCAGACATCATATATGACTGTGGACAGAGTTTAAATCCTGCAGTTGATCTGGGACAGGTTTATTTTAATTATCATCCTTGTAGTATTACTTATAGATAAGCTCAAGATATAAAGACTTTTGATACATTTTTAATTCGTGTGTAAGATTCATGTATAAACTAATTTATCCTAAAACTTGTGCACTGATACAATGTTTTTTTTTTTTTTTCCCCTGCTGGGGGTGACTTACATCTTTACTGGTTGTGATCCTACTTGACTCGCCTTCCTTTAGTTGATAGTTAAAACATCCACTTTGCCACTTTGCCACTTTGTGGCATTTTTTTACAGATAGAAGGGGCTTTTGTTCAAGGTATCGGCTTTTTCATGCTAGAGGAGTACCTAACTGATCTTGATGGTTTGGTGGTTTCTGATAGCACATGGACGTATAAGATCCCAACAATTGATACGGTACCAAAACAACTAAATGTTGAAATTTTGAACAGTGGACATCATCAGAAGCGTGTTCTATCATCTAAAGGTATTTATACAACAGTGTGCCTTTGTGAAATCCCCACCTCCTTTTCCCCATAAGAGCGAGAGATATTAGTTAAAACCACACCTTATGCCAATTTGCACAATCCATTGGTTATTGTAAAAACAAAAAACTTCTCTAGGAATAGAATAAAAGCTCTAGGAAAGGATAGATTTAAGAGAATGGGGCATAAGAGGCCTCAAAATTGTACTTTGTAATTTCTCTGGGAAAGGATAGAAATAAAGCTCTTTTGAACTAAAAAGGGAACATAAATTAATTAAGGTGTGATCTGTGTACTTTGATCGCGCTAAAACTTGTCATTTTACTTCTGTTTGGTTTTCTTGCAGCATCTGGAGAGCCGCCATTGCTGCTAGCAGCATCAGTTCATTGTGCAACAAGAGCAGCCATCAAAGAAGCGAGGAGGCAGCTTGCTTCTTGGGGTGGCCATGTTTATGCTTCTTTGTTCCAATTACCTGTCCCTGCCACCATGCCTGTGGTCAAGGAGCTCTGTGGCCTTGACATTGTTGAGAGGTACCTGAGTAGTTCACCTGCTAACAAAGTGACTGATAAGCAATAGCCTTTGTGCAGGTTTGCACCCCGAACCTTCAGTTGTGATACATCCTGTAACTAAAAGATGAAACCATGTATATAACTACAGCCATTATGTTACACATCAGATTTTACTGAAAAATGTACACTATCAATTTGATTATAATTTAAGAGGCATATTAGGGGGGCGTCTATGGCGTTTTATGAGAGGCCGAGAAGGTGGAATACATTAAAAAATTGAAGGATAAGAGAAGGTGTGGCTGAGGTTGATTGATCAGCACAATACTAATAAAGCTTGCCATTGTAATGTACAAAATTGTGTAGTTTGAGGTTATTTATGTTACACTTCTCATGATCTCAGGTGACTACGGAGTATGTTTTATCGTAGTGTAAATCACAAAAGCTAGTCAAAGTGCAGTATGTGAATAGTATAAAAGTCAAAGTGTGGCAACTGAAAAACGATGTGAATGAAGTGTGAAGTATTATTATTTCCCTCCCTACATCACAATTCGACTTTGATGGACAATGTGTTAATGCCGAGTTAAGTTTGTTGCCTTAATTCTAAATTGCGCTTCTGTATATACATTCTGATGTAAAATTGTGTATTTTCACGCAATTAGAATTGAGTACAAGTCAAGTTGTGTAAGCCCATGTGTTTTCTATGGGATGCACCAAGAAAAATTCAAGTTGTATACAAGTACAATTTATGGCAATATATCATAATAAAGCCCAATTGTGGCTCAACTCACATGCCTTGTAATGCGACGCTAGTGAGTCTTCTTGGTAATGTACACGGTTTTCCACTAAATGTCCATGAATTATTCCTTATTTCACCATACTAGGGTAGCTAACGCGCGCATAGCTAGTTATATCTAGAAGCTCTTTCGGTTTGTTTTAAAATCACAAATTTAGTTGTTGGCAGAACTAAAATTTGTAAACAACTATGTTTATGGGTATAAATGTCCAATACAACTAACATTAATGCATGAGAGCAAATAAGTACATTATTAAATATTTTAGAGGGTATAATTGTCCAAACGCTTTCATATAAAAAATTTATACTTAGTGAGTAATAATTGTACATATTAATGAGGGTATATATGTAAATACAAAGATGGGTGGTAAATTTGTAACCGTAGCCGATAGCAAATCATTGGATCAAATACTACTCTGTTTACAGTTGAATTCTCAACACTCCATTTTTTCTTCTCCCTTCCAAACTCGGTTGAATGCTCTCCCTTTCACGCTGCATCTTTCCCTCTCTTCTCCATTAAAGTGTAATTTGAGTTCTCCATTGAAGCAGCTTCTGAGGTAATATGTTTTTGCTTTCCTTTTCCATAACTAATATCTCATGGTTTGGTTTGTTTTTAACTAGGATTTAACTTGGATTTTTTGTGTGTAATTTGATTAAATTGATGTCTTTTATCCCAAAATTAATGTGATTTTGTGTGTGATTGGTTGTGAGTTGGGGTTAATTTTGCAATTAAATTAGTTTGTGCTGATGGGGTTATACAGATTTTGATGCAAATTGTTCTAAAATGCAATGCATACAACCTGTTTGTTGAAATGCCTAAGTGAGTTTTATTGACTATTTTGGCTTAATTTTATTTTTTTTCCTTTTATTTGATTATAATGATATTGTATTTGCATTTATATCTTCTGTATCGATCAGGGTTTGTCATGTGTTCCAAGTTGAGAGAAATATAATGTGCAAGTATTAATACCAAAATGCAATGTGCCTGATTATATCTCATTGTCTTTGCCTAATGTTGGTGTGATGAACCTGAATGTTGCAAATTTGCAAGGGGATGAAGAATTGAAGCTGTGATATGTTTTTTTAACTTTAAGTATGAAGTGTTTTGCGGCGTTGTTAGATTGCTTGGACACATATGACATATGTGAGGCTTCCACGTAGAATCAGGCACGACAGAGCTGAGAGGGATAGGGACATAAACTCTGTTTAGCTCTTCCTCTTTAGCCTGCCTTTGCAATGTGCACTTACCAATGGCCTTAGCTAAAGTGGTTGCTTGGTCAATCTTCACCTCATCTTTCATTCCTGTGATTTCCCATTGCATTTTTTTGTGGAATACTGTAGCAAAAGCTTTAGAGATCATTAAGGTTCCTAGAAACATTAGATATTTAGGGCTCCATACTCTTATACATTCTCGTATATTCCTTTATTTTCATGATCTTTTATTGCACCTTAGGAGCCCAAATGTTTTTTTTTAACTTGGAAATTGGAATTATGCTATGTAATAGACTACCTTATTGTCTTAGATCGATCAATTGTACTTCAAACTTGTAAGGCCTTTGGTCCACTTCTATGATCATATCCTTTAGCTTTTTCCACATATCTTCTACATTGTCCTGATAGGCTACTTTAGGATGAATGTGGATTTCAGTGGATTAAAATGCTACACTAGTACACTACAACTATCATATTCAGAATATTGGCAGCTGGAGGTCTCTTTGGTGCCTTCAATCAAACCCAAATTGGATTTGGATTTTAGATTTTTATTTAGAGTTCTTTATTTACCAAAGATTTTGTGTGATTGGAAAGCTCCTTATCTTGAGTGCCTCAAACAATAAGTAGGCCAATTCAATTGAGATTCACATTGTTCTTAAGCGCTCTTGCGGTCTTGCCCAGAGATTCGAGCATTTAGCACCACCATTGTGATTGAAGTTCTATATTTGAGTTCCTCAATCAACAAAAAGATGTAGGAGTGGTTTATAGATTGTTATTTTCCATGTGTGATAATCACACTTCATTCTGCCAGCTCCGAACTGCTGTTAAGCCTCAGTCAGAACTCTGCAAGCTAGGAAAGAATGATTCTGATTACTTTGATGTGATTATTTAGCACATGTACTCTGATACCATGATCTAATGATAAATATATTGGAAAGATGAAGTAGAGGGTGTTACAGCAGTGTATATACAAAAAATTAAACAGACAAAAGATGAAGAAACTATATGTAATTGCACACCTAAAATTCCTTTATATGAAATAGATGCCTAGCTTTATCAGGATTTGCGTTGTGTCTTTTCAGAACTTGATGCTATTGATGAATGGGATAATGATGAGGATGGTGTACAATCGTATTGCGTCAAACTTTCACTCCTCCAAGATGTTTTGTTCTAAGGTAGAGCCTACATTGAAAGTGGGAGATATATTACAGCAGAGGAGAATATTTACAATTGAGGATGTTGTTGAATATTCTAATGTCAGTAAAGACATTAATCCTCTTCATTTTGACACTAAGTGTGCTCAAATTGCCGGATTTCAAGATCGACTTGTTCATGGGATGCTAGTTGCTTCTTTATTTCCTCGCATTATCTCCTCTCATTTTGTAAGTCAGTCATATTCATTCTTTCCTTCTATCTAAATGTTTGTGCTCTTACCAAATGGGGTTTTTGGTGTTCTATTTTTAATATTACTGTATTAGGGTATTTAATTAATTTGAATACTAACATATTTTTTTTATTTGGAGGGGTTTTATTTCCATTTTGGTCTTATGTGATGTGTATAATGCTTGAAAATGCAACACCACCTATACAGGGGTACTTTAGGGTTCTTGAACCTATCTACCCCAGCCAGTCACCCTCTACTTTTCCAACGTAAGGCTTACATTCTATTGCCATTAAGCTCTGGATTAATGGGGAACTGCAAGATTTATAAAGGGATACAACCCTTCAGCAAACTTAAGATACTCCAATATCTGTTCAATTTATGACCTTCTCCATGTTAGCTTGCAGACCAAAAGAAACAGGCGAGTCACAGATTCACAGTAGGCCTGCAATTTTAAAATCAGCTTGCATAGAAAATGCATTTTTATACGCACATCACACTAGTGCTACCATGCTTTGCACAATTGCATGATGTTAATTTTGGAATTTTTGCTTTACAACCTGCATGTGGCTGGATGGTTTTAGGGCCTGATCTCCATAATTTTTGTATGCTAGCCTGGTGCTGTTTATGTTTCGCAAAATTTGCAATTTAGACAACCTGTGTATGTTGAAGATGAGATTGTTGGTGAGGTGCAAGCATTTAGCATTATAAATTTCAAGAAGAACTACTTGTAAGTAACTTAACCATGACTTATGCGGAATCATCTTCCAGTTAAATAAGTATGAAATTCAGTTTTTGACTTCAATCTCTGTTTGATTTTGTTTGCTAGTGTAAAGTTTATCACCAGGTGCTTCAAAAAGGACAGTCTCATTGTGCTTGATGGCGAAGCTACGGCAATCTTACCTTATTTGAGTTGGCAAAGCCAAATCGTCGAATGAATGAAATTTTATGCATTGTAAGTGCATTTCCTGAAACTAGCATTTGATTCTTTGGAAAATTTCGAAAACATGTATGGCAACCATTTAAAAGAATACATATTTCAAGTTTAGGTGGACGCTAAACTTCTCAAAAGTTGGCTTATAGAATAGAGATTATTTAATCTATTGCCTTGTATGGGGACATTTGTTGTGATGTTTTTGTAGGCAAGCGAAATTGCATATGTGGTAAATTTAATATGAATGACCTCAAGTTATGTAGCTTGAGCATACTCTTAGGACTCATTTTGGTAGAGTATGCATATATGATGGCATTTTTTTTTCTTGTTTGTGACAGGATATATGATGGCAATTTGAATGAATTAATATGTAATTTGTGACGAATGTCCTATATCAGTATTTTTGGTAACTTTATTAATATATTTTTATAGCATATAACTTAGTTTATTTTGTGCTTATCAGCCAAGTTTGTACTATTATTATATAGAACTAATTTTCCAAGGAATAAAATTTGGATTAATTATTTATCTATTTATTATTGTTATTATATCCAATTCTAGAGATCAACTTGATTTTTTAGTTCTACTTTTTATGTATTGTTTTTATTAACATGTTTTAGTTAATCCACTTTGACTAGACATTTTTTTTTTTGGTGAATGTATAGTTTAGACCGTTTTCTGAATAATGAGTGTAACAGTTTGGCTTTTGCATTATTCACATAGTAACTTTAACTTATTTATATTTACTAATATATATTCCGTAAAAACCAAATGTTATTATGTAAAGTACTAATAGTCAAAGTTGTGTAATGACATTGTGTCAATCAAAGTAATGTATTTATTTAGATACACAAGAAGTACCTTGTATCATTTTGTGTTATGTGAATAGTGTACAAAACCAAAGCAAAAAATTCATTTGAGCTTGTTTGACATCGTTTTTTTTGTTTTCAGTAACCTGAAAAAGGTATTTTCACTTTTCTGTTGCCAATTTTCAAAATTATCATGATTTTAATAAGTTTTACCAATTTATTATATGACCCGAGGGTGCACTGGTTTGAAGAGTGGAAGAGTCGAACTATGAAGGGGGTAAAACGAGGGAGAGGGAGACCGAAAATGACTTGGTTGGAAGGAGTTAGCAAGGATATGAAGTATATGGATTTGCATGAGGATAAAGCAATGGATCGTAAGGGATTGAGGAGGAAGATTTATGCCGCTGACTACACGAAATAATCAAATTTGGTTCATGTTAGCCGACCCCACTTATGGGATTAAGGCTTTGATTGATTGATTGATGTATCATACTTTATGATTTTGTAAAACAAAAAACTAAAAAACAGAAAACCACGATGATACCAAATGAACCTTTGGGGATCAATGAAAAAAAAAATAGAGATTATATTAGTTGTCGTATACCAAGTATTTTACTTCATATATTAGACCATCTCCAATGGTGAGACTCAACTTTGATTATTGAAATAAAAAATGAGTTGTTTTTTACCTAGTGATACCCTACCCACTTTTCAATTTAGCAACTCATGTGAAGTTTAATTTCCCAATGATGAGACTTTCTAAAGTATACTAATGTCACTTTCAATTTATGGTTCACCAAATCATATTATAAGTTTTTTTTAGAAAAAAATTAAAATTAAAACTTAATAAATTACAAAACATATTATAATATTGATAAGGGCCCACACTTTTTGTCAAATGAAACTCAAAGTTGAGTATTTAAATTTAGCAACTTTCTTTTAGAGCTGTTAAGTTTAGATGACAACTTATTGGCATCCTTTGCAAAATATACTCTCTCTCTTCAAAACAAACTTCCTCAAGTCTCACCATTGAATAGGGTCTTATAGTGGAGTATTTACCTTTTTAATTGATGCAGTTGTCATTTGTCAACACTAACGACTCAATGAGTGAGGAAACGATACATATAAATGTATAACAAAGATTGAAATATACTGATTAAATCTCAAAAATCTGTAAAATTTTGTCCTTCAACATGAAGGCCGCCAAATTTGAATACAATGATCTACGTACTATACATCGCTATGCCTACTATTAGCATGTAAATTATTGGTAAGGTACTAAGGTCCAGGGCCGTCGCTAGGGCGGGGCAGGTGGGGCAATCGCCCAGGGCCCAAAATGAGAAAGCCCAAAATTGGTTATACTTGGTAAAAATTAAGGGCCTCAAAAAAAAAAAAAAATTACAGTGTATTCAAAGCGTTTTATTCCTTTCCCTATGTTCTTCATCCCTACATTTTTGGGTTTTTAGTTTCCAATGCCTACTAACTACTGACATTAATGATATCCTCAAGATTTTAATTACTCATTCTAAATCCAACTCATATTCAATTTCTTATAATATCAAATCCTTATTTAATCAATTGAAGATGAATTCGTCACTCCATTGTTTAACATCTGATGAAAACGATAAAGGTTTTTGTTTTGGTTTTACTATTATTTTTTTGCTTCATTTTTTTTAGTTTTAAATTTTCATATCCGATTTTTTCTAATTGTAATTATACTCTATTTTCATTGTTTTTAGGGTTGAATTACAATTATAAAGTGTGTTAATCGGTTGAATTAATTTAGAATAAGACGAACCAAGTTGTTTATCTATTAACTAGATTTTTTTTTATTTTTTATTTTTTAAGATGGAATAGCAATTGGATAATATCTACGGTAGTTTATCTTAATCAAGTGTTTAGACTTTTTTTTTTTTTTTTTTAAGATGGAATAGCAATTGGATAATATCTACGGTAGTTTATCTTAATCAAGTGTTTAGACTTTTTTTTTTCTCATTAACGACTTATTACTGATTATAAAAAAATCTATTTTCTTTTCTAGAATTTTTGTAGACATTATACTCAATGAAATTCTTCTGTGTTTTTTAATTTCATATTTGAGTACGATATTATTTTGTAGAAATTAAGTAGAGAACTGCTAATTAATTGTCTTTGTTTTTGGTTAAAAAAAAATTGAGGCTGCTAATTAATCTCGTTGTATAAGAAGTTTAATATTTTAATAAATGTTTTGTTGTATACCCTTAAAATTCATTTAAAAAAAATATCACGACTTAATTAGGGTCCTAATGTATAGGTTCACCCTAGGCCACCAAAATCTCAGAAACGGGCCTGCTAAGGTCATACACAGTCAACTGTCTATAGCAATAATATGCAGTGACTTAGTGCTTTGTAATAGTTAGTGACTTAGGTCATTATGTATTAGTCTACATTATGAACCATTTACGGAAAAACATTTGGATTGGATAGATTTAGATTGATTGGTTGTGCTTCTTCAGTTTTTCCACACCAAACTTGCTTGGCCAAAACACAGAGAAAAAGGGAAAGACAGAGAGAAAGAGTGAGATGGATCCTGCAACACTTCTTACTCTGGCACAAACCATAATTCAAGTACTAGATTCTTCCTTTGTTAAGGAATTTGGGTCTGTTGGCAGGTTCAGATCTGAAGTTGAAAAACTCAAAAGCACCATGTCCACTATCAAGGCCGTGTTGATTGATGCGGAAGAGCAGGAGAGGCAACTAGTTGCGAGACGAAACCTGGAACACGATTGGCTTGAAAAGCTCATAGATGTTGTTTATGAAGCAGATGATCTGTTTGACAGGATTGCCTATATAGCTCAACGCAAGAGGCTCATGTCAACAGGTAATACACTAAAAGGGGTTCTCCTTTTCTTCTCTCGTTTTAACCAGTTGGCTTTTGCTCGTAATGTGTCCCGGGAGGTCAAGATGATTAGGGAGAGGCTGGATGACATTTCCAAGGATTATCACGACTATTACTCCGGGCCGACATGGGTTAGTGGTGAAGGGAGAATAGTGGCAAAGAGGAGGGAGGACAGTCATTCTTTTGTGTATGCTGAGGATGTTATTGGAAGAGACGCGGATAAGAAGGAAATTATAGACAAGTTGCTGGATTCCAGCGTCAGAGATGCTGTTCATTTTGTCACATTAGTAGGGATTGGTGGTTTAGGAAAAACTACCCTTGCTCAATTGGTATATAATGACGATAGAATCGTTACTGAATTTCCATTGAGGATGTGGGTTTGTGTTTCTGATGAATTTAATATCAGAGATATTCTCTGTAAACTTCTTAATTCTACTGTAAATCAAAACTTTGAAGTTGAAGAGCTCCAACGCCGAGTTAGGCAGAAGATTAATGGGGAAAGATACTTGCTTGTTTTGGATGATGTGTGGAATGAGGATCGTCATGAATGGCTTAAACTTGAGAACTTGTTGATTGGTGGTGTAAGGGGAAGTAGGGTTGTGGTCACTTCACGCTCTAAAATGGTGGCTACGATAGTAGGAGACGGTCTAACTTATGAATTAAAGGGCCTCTCTCCAGAAGATTCATGGAGTTTGTTTGAGAAAATGGCATTTAGAAATGAAATAGAGCGCATGGATGACCACCTCATCGAAATTGGACAACATGTTCTTAAGAAGTGTGCCAATGTCCCCCTTGCCATAAGGGTTGTTGGAAGTCTTCTTTATGGCCAGACTAAAAGCATTTGGCAGTCATTCAAAAATCGAGATTTGATAAAGATGAAAAGGGATGATAAAGATGGTATATTGCCAATTTTGAAGCTTAGTTATCATCATCTTACCTTGGAATTGAAGAATTGCTTCAGTTATTGTGCCTTATTTCCTAAGGATTATTGGATAGAGAAGGAGATCTTGGTAAATCTATGGATGGCACACGGTTTCTTATCACCTTCAGAGGGTCAAAGAGTTAAAGATGCTGCAGAGGAATACTTTATGATTCTTTTGCAAAGGTGTTTTTTTCAAGATGCTATTAGGGACGACTATGGTGAAATTGTGGCATGCAAGCTTCACGATCTGATGCATGATGTTGCTCAAGAGGCAGTAGGTAGGGACTTATTGGTGGTAGATAATGTGAGCGAGTTGAAGGAAAAAATTAGACACTTATCCTTCAGTAGATTGGATCTCGGAAATAGTTCAAGCTCTTTCAGCGAGATAGAAAATATACGCACACTATTTAAGCTGCAGCGTACTTTTTCTGTAGCCGGAACTAGGGAGATTAGAGAATTTCTTAAAAAGGCAACGTACTTGAGGGTATTATGTTTAACTTCGGAGATCAAAACCTTGCCGAGGGCAATAGATAAACTAATTCATTTGAGATATCTTGACCTGTCTCATAACTATGTGTTAGAGTTTCTCCCTGCAACACTATGCAAACTGAATAACTTGCAGACCTTAATACTAAAAGAGTGCTTGAATTTAAAAGAGTTGCCAACGAAGTTAAGCAAATTAGAGAAACTGAGGTACTTGGATATTGAAGGTTGTAGGCTGGATCATATGCCTCCGAGTTTGAGTAACTTAACATGCCTTGAAAAGTTACCACAGTTTGTTGCTAGCCACAGTCGAGTGGGACAGGCAATTAGAGGAGAGCTTCAAGACTTGGAACCACTGAAAAATGTTGGAGGCAGTCTTAAGATAAGAGTCCGTGGATTTTCAACATATCAGGTCACCGAAGGAGCTAAATATGTCAGTGGCATGATACATCTCAAAGATATGCATATAGAGATAAGCTGTCTCCTCAACGATGATGCAGGTTCGACATTATTGCTAGAATGCCTTCAGCCCAATCGTTATCTTACACATTTCAGTCTATATGGATATGGTGGTGTGGCATTTCCAAAATGGGAGTCAATTGAAGACTTGAAGCCATCACTTCCACTGCTGGTTGAACTCTCCCTTAGTGATTGCGCTAACTTGCAGCATCTTCCTTTATTGAGCCAACTTCATCATTTGCAAACTCTTAACCTCATTAATTTGGATAATCTGGAAGACATAGAGGGTTGTGGTGGTAGCTTATCAGTGTCTGTTCAAGATCAGTCAGCATTCTTTCTACGCTTGGAAAAGCTTCATTTAGTGGGTTTGCCAAAATTGAAGAGATGGCAAAAATCCTCCTCAGAGTCAGGAGTAACGAGCTTAAATTATAGTCGTAGCCCTGTTGCTTATACATTTCCTCGTCTCTTTGATCTAAACATCAGCAACTGTCCTTACATGACCTCCATTCCTCTCGCTTCAAGTGTCAGGAGTTTGATTCTTTCCCTTGATGCCCCCCATTCTGAATCATTTATGATGAGTTCGTGCTGCTTGACTGGTTCTGGTGAGCTAACAATAAAATTTTGCTACTATGAAGGTCTCAATAGCTTATCTATAGTCGAAGAGCTATTTCAGAGTCATTTGTGCACCTCCCTTTGTTCCCTGCATATTGAGGGATGGCCCTACTTAAAGAGCCTTTGTGGAGGAGGATTGGAGCATCTCACTGCGCTGCAGACTCTTCATTTGTCGGGACTTCCTGATCTAGAAGAGCTAGAGGATGGCAATCATAGTCATCTACCTTGGAAATTCCTTACCAGTCTCCGTGACCTGGAACTACTAAATCTCCCGAAGCTTGTGAATCTTCCTCAAGGGATCCAGCACTTAACAGCCCTTCAATCCCTCCGTGTTGAAGCATGTGATATGTTTGAACTCTCGGCAGAGTGTGTGTCTCGTTTAACATCTGTAAAATATCTTTATCTATTGCAATGCGATGGTTTGAAATCATTGCCTGAAGCAGCACTATCAGAACTTCCTTCCCTTGAACATCTTGATTGGGTTCAGTGGCTGCAACCATCTCCACAGTCGTCACAAGCCTCACCACCTCTACCACCTCCACTGCCGGACTTCCCTCCAGTGTGCCGTCAACCATCTCCACGGTCATTACAAGACTAACCACCTCCACCACCTCCACTGCCGGACTTCTCTCCACTGCACCGTCGACCATCTACACTGTCGGAATTTGTTGTAAAGCCGAATAGCGCTTGAGTTATACGAAGTATATTGTTAATCATTTTTATTACTTGCGAATAACCATTAATCATTAAACTTTTACCAAGGCAAGGAAATTTAAACCTATAAAACATACGAAGTACTTTCTTTAAGAATTTCTGCTCGTCAATTCTCTTGCAACACAGTAAATGACCGAACATCTGACATAATACCTTACTATTTCAGGTAATAAAACTACACTATGTTTCCTGGCACATGAATAATGCTTGAAGTTTTTCATTCTACAGAGATTTTTAGTATATAATAAGCTGCCTTTATAAGTATGCCCCTTCTTATGGAGTAAAGATTTTAGCTTGATTTGCTTGCAACTGAGCTTGTTACTCAGGAGCTTGCAAGTATTTTTGTGTGCTTGTAGCCTGGTTACTATACAGTCTTGTTTATGTTGGAGTCTTGGAGATGAAATTGTTGGTGTATTACAAGCGACGGACATTTTATGCATTTTATTACATGCATTGCTTGGAAATAATTGTAGTTACTCCCTCCGTCATTTATTGTTTGCATCATTTGCTTTTAAGTGGTCTTCAAAACACATGTTTGATCAAAAATATTATTAGTCATGTATTGTTAAAATATAATTAGAAAGTTGATATTTTGAAGATATCCAAGTATCTAACAACATTTCACCTTTTTAAAAAAAAAAATAATATTATATACAGCTGTGTGGATAGTTTACCATTTACAAAAAATGACACTCAGAAAAATATGAGGTGAGAGTCATTAACAAAGCCACCATTACCACTCTACAATAAGTTGAGTAGAGGAGAAAGTGGCACGCCAAAGAACTTGCTTCCATTTTTGAGGTCTGATGTACTACTAACAAGAGAGGCACTCTGGGCTCTGAAAATCGAGTGACCAGACTTCTTCTTCCGGAACCAAATGGGTTTGCATATTACTACAAGAACAAGCAAACCTCCTCCAATGCCTTATCATTGGTGCTTGGAAAGCTCCTTATCTGAGTGTCTCAAACATTAAGTAGGCCAAATCAGTTTGAGATTCACATTGTTCTTAAGCGCTCTTGCCCAAAGATTCGGGCATTTAGAACCACCATTGTGATTGAAGCTCTATATTTGAGTGCCTCAGTCAACAAAAAGATGTAGGAGCTGTTTATAGATTGTTATTTTCCAAACTGCTGTTAGGCCACAGTCAGAATTGCTCTGCAAGCTAGGAAAGAATGATGCTGATTACTTTGATATGATTAATTAGCACATGTACTCTGAAGAAAGATCGAAGAAAGCAGAGGGTGTTACAACAGTGTATGAACAAAAAATTAAACAGACAAAAAACGAAGAAACTATATATACTTGCACACCTAAAATTCCTTTAGCTGGATTTGCATTGTGTCTTTTCAGAACTTGATGATATTGATGAACCGATGATGATGAGGATGGTGTCCAATCGCATTGCGTCAAACTTTCTCTCCTCCAACAAGTTTTGTTCTAAGGTAGAGCCTACATTGAAAGTAGGAGATACTTTACAGCAGAGGAGAATGTTGAGGATGTTTTTGAATATTCTAAAGTCAGTAAAGACATAAATCCTCTTCATTTTAATACTCAGTGTGCTCAAATTGCCGGATTTCAAGATCGACTTGTTCAAGACAACCTGTGTATGTTGAAGATGAGATTGTTGATGAGTTGCAAGCATCAAACATGAGAAATTTCGAACAGAACTACCCTTTTTTTTTTTTTTTTTTTTTGAGTAGCTCAAACAGAACTACCTGTAAGTAACTTTACCATGTTATCTTCCAGTTAAATAAGTATGAAATTCAGTTTTTGACTTCAATTCTTTGTTTGATTTTGGTTTGCCCGTATAAAATTTACCACCGGGTGCTATAAAAAGGGTAGTCTCATTGAGCTTGATGGTGAAGCTACGGTAATCTTACCTTATTTGAGTTGGCAAAGCCAAATTGTCGAATGAATGAAATTGTATGCATTGTATATTTGTATGTGCATTTCAAAAACATGTAAGGCAACCATTTTAAAGAATACTCTTAGAAAATTTCAAAAGTTTTAGCTTTCTCTGTTTTTTAATTTTCAATTTTGTTAATTGAACATTTCACCAATATTAATTTTAACCATTAAGTCCATTATTGTTTAATCATTACCAAAACAAATCCAATTCTTAACTACTACCTTCGTTTTAAATTATATGCAACAATTTGATATAAAGTGTGATTACTCTTGTTAAATCTTCCTTATAAAATTGATACTTTCTCTGTTTCATATTGATATTATCATTTGCAACATTTTGACAATAAATGTGAGGAAATCTTCAAAATATATTTCAATCTATAGGAACAAATATAGTCATATGAGGTCTATTTTCGTAATACAAAATTCAAACTAAACAGTAAACACCATCTAACACACCAGCCGGTAACTTTTATACCTGACAATCTTGACTCTCCAATGATTTGACCCTTAACCCGAAATCGACCCAAAATTGACTCAAAACCCGAACCTACTTCACCAACTGACCTGTACTCGACTCAAAAATGGAGTTGACCCGATCTTGACCCAACATCCGAGCTGGCCTGACTCGAAGTTGGCCTGATACCCCAAATTACCTGACCCGAAATTGACCTAAATTATTTGACCCAAAGAAACTTGATAGCCAAAATGTCCCGAACTAAAACTAACTTATTATCAAGTGCCAAAAAAAACTCAAATTGTTCATCTCCAACCGTATCCTAGCTCATAAACCTAATTGATAGTTCTTATTATAACAATAACAAAACATAATATTATCTATTCGAGCTTGATCCACAAATGAAACAACCTTAACATAACCCGACCCGATTTTGACCTGACCTGAGCACACTCTACGCAAAAATGGTGATAATGAGTCGAGCCTATTCGTGAACAATTTAAGCTCGGCTTGGTTAAAGTTTGGTCAAAACTTGATTTGTAGTGGCTCGGCTTGGGTTGAGTTCGGCTCGAGACCTTCATGAATTGAGCTAACTTATGATAAGCTCGACTCGAAGAGTTCATGAACAGGCTCGATAATCTTTTTCCATATAAAAATAAAAAAAAAAATCATGTATTATGCCTTCGATTTTGCATTGTCATTTGGCTTGAAGAACAAATTGGAGAATTAAAACCATAATAACGCCTAATTGATATGCAAATTGATATAAAAGTTAGACAAAGAGGAAGAAGAAGGAACAACAGAGGTGAGAATCGAGGAAAAAGAGAGGTACAATTGGTAATGGAACCCACTGTAACGTCATATAGGGGTGTTGGGCAAAAGTGGTGGGAGTTTTTTTGGTTTTTGAGAAAATTAGGTGGTAAAATATAATAAAAAAAAAAAGTTAAGGTGATAGTATATACAATAGATGGTGATATTTTTCAAATTTTCCTTAAAATATAGTATAAAAAGCGTAAACCGCATCAAAGTGCAATTTGGTCTAATTTTTTTTGGAAAACCGCACCAAACTGCAAACCATGATTTGGTCATTTTCATAAACCGCACTACAATTTTCAAACTGCAAATCACACCAAATCGCAAAATTCCGGTTTAATTTGCAGTTTGGTGCAGTCTAAACCGCACTTTAAACAGCCTGGGTACGTTTAATGAATTTAAAATTGGATAAACTTATTAAAATTAACAACAAAAAAAATGAAACACGCTTTTCTTATTTACTACATCTTGGTTTTTTTCAGCTACAATTTCAATCTTAATGGTGTGTTTGGATTGAAGGAAATGAAGGGAAAGGAAGAGAAGGCAAATGAAGAGATGGAGTATATTTCATTTGGATAACAAATGAGGAAGGAAGGGAATTGGGAAAAATTCCAAGTTAATATCCTATATTAACAACTTTTTTTAATATAGGGGTGTCCAAGTCTTTTCGCACTAAATATATGGGGGTAAGTTTGGAAATAAATGTGGGACCACTGAATGTCCCATTTTGCCACACCCAGCTGACCCCGTTTTTCTCGTTGACGAACGTTAATGGAGATGGAAAGAAAAGCTCATTGGAAAAACTCATCTTTAATGGTGAAAATAGTACGGGAGTGAAACACCTACCCCTTTGGGGTTTACCATACCCTAATTTTCTCCATTTTTATTAGGGTTTTTCTTTTAATTTTGCGGCGAAGCCGCCGAAAATGGTACCTTGTTCGGCTTGTTGTTTGAGTATGTGGCGGGCTGTCGAGCTTGACGGTGGCAATTAATGAGCAGAGGAGAGAATCAAAGTAATGATCCAGAATATTTGTTGAATTTTGTTTTCGATGGACTCAATGATAGTTTTGAAGGCATTGTGTTGATTGTTTTCTTTGGCTGAATTAATGGTTTCTCTCTCCTCCATATGTTTGCCACGGAAGATTAAGCTAACGATGTTAACTTTACCGTCAAGTGCAGTCACTTTACAGAATTAGCATACCGTTGTAGTGGAACGGGGTATACGTCAGCGTTATTGTATTAAATGAATATAATACGAAAACCAAGGCATTTATTTTCCATTTTGCCACTATATTAACAACTCATGTTAATATGTGATATTAATGGGGACTGTCTCGGGAATTGGAGGAGAGAGAAATGGAGGGATTAAATTGTAGGAAATTTATCTCTCCAACAATAGAGAGATTTGGAAGGAAAACTTAGCATTCTTCCCTCCCCTCCCTTTCCCTCCCCTCCTCTTCTCCTCCCTCCCTTTCTTTATCCAAGATTCCAAACACACTATAAAGGTTGACAGAATCACAATATCTTTCCAAGTCAACTACTCCCTTCGTTTCGCATTAGTTGCAACACTTTTCATTTTCGGTTGTTTCATATTAGTTACAACACTATATTGGGAAAGGACATATCATTATTTTATAATTTCTCTTGCTGGTCCACCCTATAAATTTTCTTAAACTATGAGTCAAGTCTACTGTTACTACTAATGTGTAATGGAGAAAGTAGTTCTGTAGTAAAAAAGACCTTTTTTTTTTTTTTTACCTTCTTCCGTACCATAATTTTTTAATTTTTTTGAATTAAACTACTCGTATATGCTTGATTGAATACAACAAAGGACTGGCCCTCCAAAAAAAATTATAAAAATACAAGGACCGAAAACATTACATATACGGAGTACTATGTCCGTATTTTCAAAGGACCCCAATTCGTCAGTTTTGAAGATTTATATCCGTTAAAAACGGATTCGGGTCGAGACCAGCTGACCAGATTCACTGCCAATCCCTAATATTGTAGTTGTGGTTCACTGCGTCTTTAAAATTTCCACACCTTCACCAAAACACAAGGAAAATGGTAAGTGAGTTGTGCTTCAGTATTTACACACCAATCAAACTTGCTTGACCAAAACACAGAGAAAAAGGGAAAGAGTGAGAGTGAGAGTGAGAGTGAGCTGTGCTTCTTCAATATTTCCACACCAAACTTGCTTGACCAAATTAAACACATAGAAAAAGCAAAAGAGTGAGTGAGATCAGAGTGAGTGAGCTAGAGTGAGAGTGATAGTGAGATGGATCCTTCAACACTTCTAACTCTGGCACAGACCATAATTCAAGTACTAGAGTCTTCCTTTGTTGAGGAATTAAGGTCAGTTGGTAGGTTCAGATCTGAAGTTGAAAAACTCAAAAGCACCATGTCTACTATCAATGCTGTGTTGATTGATGCAGAAGAGCAGGAGATGCAACTAGTTCCGAGACGAAATGTGGAACGCGATTGGCTAGAAAAGCTCAGAGATGTTGTTTATGAGGCAGATGATCTGTTTGACAGGATTGCCTCCGTAGCTCAACGCAAAAGGCTCATGTCAACATGTGATACGCTAAAAGAGGTTCTCCTTTTCTACTCTCGTTCTAACCAGTTGGCTTTTGCTCGTAATGCATCTCGGGAGGTCAAGATGATTAGGGAGAGGCTTGATAGCATTTCCAAGGATCATCGCGACTTTTTTCCTGGCCCCCCATGGGCTAGTGGTCAAGGGAGAGTAGTGGCAAAGAGGAGGGAGGAAAGTCATTCTTTTGTTTATGCTCAGGATGTTATTGGAAGAGATGCGGATAAGGAGGCAATCATATACATGTTGCTCAATTTCTGTGATCAACCACCCGCTCCTTGTCATAAAAAATCGGCTCCACATGATGGACCAGCTCCCTGTGATAAACCACCGGCTCCCCGTGATCAACCACCAGCTCCCTGTGACAACAAATCGGCTCCACGTGATAAAAAACCGGCTCCTCGTGATGAACCATCACTGTCTCCATCAGATAAAATGGTTATGTGTGATAAACCGAAATCCAGTCCCGCTCATTTTGTCACATTAGTAGGGATTGGTGGTTTAGGAAAAACTACACTTGCTCAGTCATTCTATCATGACTATAGAATCGTTGCTAAATTTCCATTGAGGATGTGGGTTTGTGTTTCTGATGAATTTAACCTCAGAGATATTCTCTGTAAACTTCTCAATTCAACCAGAACTCAACATCTTGAAGTTGAAGAGCTCCAACACCGAGTTAGGCAGAAGATTGATAAGGAAAGATACTTGCTTGTTTTGGATGATGTATGGAATGAGGATCGTCATGAATGGCTTAAACTTGAGAATTTGTTGGTTGGTGGTGAAAAGGGAAGTAGTGTTGTGGTCACTTCACGCTCCAAAAGGGTGGCGGCGATAATAGGAGATGGTCTATCTCATGAATTAAAGGGCCTCTCTCCAAAAGATTCATGGAGTTTGTTTGAGAAAATGGCATTTAGAAATGAAAAGGAGCGGATGGATGACGACCTCATCGACATTGGACAACATGTTCTTAAGAAGTGTGCCAATGTTCCCCTTGCAATAAGGGTTGTTGGAAGTCTTCTTTATGGTCAGACTAAAAGCACTTGGCAGACATTCAGAAATCTAGATTTGATAAACATGAAAAGGGATGATAAAGATGGTGTATTGCCAATTTTGAAGCTAAGTTATCATCATCTTACCTTGCAATTGAAGAATTGCTTCAATTATTGTGTCTTATTTCCTAAGAATTATTGGATAGAGAAGGAGATCTTGGTAAATCTATGGGTGGCATACGGTTTCTTATCACCTTCAGAGGGTCAAAGAGTTCAAGATGCTGCAGAGGAGTGCTTTATGATTCTTTTGCAAAGGTGTTTTTTTCAAGATGCTATTAGGGACGACAATGGTGAAATTGTGAAGTGCAAGCTTCACGATCTGATGCATGATGTTGCTCAAGAAGCAGTAGGCAGGGACATATTGGTTGTAGATAATGTGAGCGAGTTGAAGAAAAAAATTAGACACTTATCCTTCAGTAGATTGGATCTCGGAAATAGTTCAAGCTCTTTCAGCGAGATAGAAAATATACGCACACTATTTAAGCTGCAGCGTACTTATTCTGTAGCCGGAACTAGGGAGATTAGAGAATTTCTTAAAAAGGCAAGATACTTGAGGGTATTATGTTTAACTCGGGAGATCAAAACCTTACCGAAGGCAATAGATAAACTAATTCACTTGAGATATCTTGACCTGTCTCATAACCATGAGTTAGAGTTTCTCCCTGCAACGCTATGCAAGCTGAATAACTTGCAGACCTTAATACTAAAACAGTGCTTGAATTTAAAAGAGCTGCCAACGAAGTTAAGCAATTTAGAGAAACTGAGGTGCTTGGATATTGAAGGTTGTAGGCTGGATCATATGCCTCCGAGGTTTAGTAACTTAACATGCCTTGAAAAGTTAACGCAGTTTGTTGTTAGCCACAGTCAAGTTGGACAGGCAAATAGAGGAACACTTCAAGACTTGGAAGCACTTACAAATGTTGGAGGCACTCTTACTATAAGAGTCCATGGATTTTCAACATGTCAGGTCACCAAAGGAGCTAAATATGTCAGTGGCATGACACATCTGAAAGGTTTACATATAGAATTAAGTTGTCTCCTCAACGATGATGCAAGTTCGACATTATTGCTAGAATGCCTTCAGCCCAGTCGTAATGTTAAACATTTCAATCTATCTGGGTATGAAGGTGTGGCATTTCCAAAATGGGAGTCAATTGAAGATTTGAAGCCATCACTTCCAAATCTGGTAGAACTCTCCCTTAGTGATTGTTCCAACTTGCAATATCTTCCTTTATTGAGCCAACTTCGTCATTTGAAAACTCTTAACCTCATTAATTTGGCTAATCTGGAAGACATAGAGAATTGTGATGGTGAACAGGATCATCAGCCAGTGTTCTTTCCGGACTTGGAAAAGCTCTATTTAGTGGATTTGCAAAAATTGAAGAGATGGCAAAAATCCCCCTCAGAGTCAAAAGTGACGAGCTTAGATTATGTTCGTAGCCCAGTTGCTAATACATTTCCTTGTCTCATTGATCTAAACATCAGGGGATGCCCTTACATGACCTCCATTCCTCTCGCTTCAAGTGTCAGAAGTTTGATTCTTTCCCTTGATGCCCCCTATTCTGAATCATTTATGATGAGTTCATGCTGCTTGACTGGTTCTGGTGAGCTAACCATAAAATTTTGCAACAATGAAGATCTCAAAAGCTTATCTATAGTCGAAGAGCTATTTCGGAGTCATCTGTCCACCTCCCTTTGTTCCCTGCATATTAAGGGATGGCCCTACTTAACGAGCCTTTGTGGGGGAGGATTGGAGCATCTCACTGCGCTGCAGACTCTTCATTTATCGGGACTTCGTGATCTAGAAGAGCTAGAGGATGGCAATCATAGTCATCTACCTTGGAAATTCCTTACCAATCTCCGTGACCTGGAACTACTAAATCTTCCGAAGCTTGTGTACCTTCCACAAGGGATCCAGCACTTAGTAGCCCTTCAATACCTCCGTGTCGAAGAATGTCCTGGGTTTAAACTCTCGGCAAAGTGTGCATCTCGTTTAACATCTGTCAAATTTCTTTTTATATATCGGTGCGATGGTTTGAATTCATTGCCTAAAGCAGCACTGTCAGGACTTCCTTCTCTTGAACAAGTTGAGATCAAAAATTGTGAGCTTCTCGAAGATTGGGTCTACGAACTGTCGCCACTTCCTCCACGGCGTTTTTAGACCCTTGAGTCCAACTCCAAATCCAAGAATGAGTCCTAGAAATCAAGCAGGCTGCAAATAACTATAGGTGCGCTTCAGAGGGGACAACTGACAAACCCCAACAAGAGTAAGATGGAATTGCTGTACAGCCGACTAGCGTGTAAGTTATGCAATTGGTATGTATAAGATGGAAGTATATCGTTAGTTATTAAAACACGGAGGGAGTATGTAATTTTTTTGAAACAGGAGGGAGTATGTAATTTTTTGTACTTTTTTATTGGATTTGGTTTTAGTGTTGCTAATAAATGAGTTATAGATCTATTATTGAATGACTTCAATGTTTCTTTAGTTTCTAAATAGGTTAGGCCATAGCAAGATGATCTTAATCCAAAACGATAGAAGAAGAATTTGGTGAAATACCCGCTGAAGGATTTAGTAGACCCATGTCTGAAATTTTTAAACAACTCAACAAAAAAGTTTCTTGATTCTCTTATTAGTGTTCGCTCTGAAAACAGGGTTTCTATCAAATAAATTCCATGGTAATATCTGCAACTTTTTTTTTGTTTTTGATTTCACAGTTTTCGGTGCTTTTTAGCTCAATTGTAATCAATTGATGCTAGTTTAGTCTATTAGACATGGGTATGTGTCCAAGAGTTGGATTTGGCTATTTATTTTTATAGAAATGTCACATTGAGGATTCGACACGGGTACTTGAGGTTGATTGAAGAGTTGGAGTAATGTAGGTGTTTGATTGGTCAACTTGATATTTCTTCAAAATTATCAGTTATAATGGTGCTACACTTGTTTGGTCTGTTAATGATTGTTTTTTGTTAGACTGTCGGGTAATGTGTCTACTTAATGGGGATTAGGATTGATGGCGTGTTTTATGTTTGAGTAATAATGATGATAATTTATGAATTTTGTGCTTAATATGCTGCTTAGTTGGTGTTTTGCACTATTACAGGCTGCGAATCGAATCATGAACTTACATGCTCCAGGTGACCAGGTATTCAACAAAGCATTGGTTTTGTAGTAATTTTTAGGTGAATGTTTTATTTTCCCTTATAAGCTCGGTTTTTGCCATAATTTCATGGATTTCAGAATGGTTGGGCAAGGTTCGGAATATCACATTCTCACCTGATGGCACGTCTGTAATTGTTGTTTGTCGCATTACACTCCATGGGACGGATGCTGAGGTATATGATCTTATATTTTATTAGCTCCCCTGCCATTCATTGTTGGATTGTTATACTTATGATTTTGATTGGAAAAGAATGTTGGGTATAGTTTAAGTATAGCAGAATAAAAGGTTACATCCTGTTTGTATATGAAAAAGTATGAGATTGCTCAAGTTAATTTAGACAAGTCAATTTCCCTGGAGCAATCAAATCCTATTGCTCCATATAATTATAGTCGTGGCAACAAAATTTGGATGTTACTTTCTTTATGGACCAGTCACTTCTTCATTGCAGTGTTTCAGACTCTCTTATAAACTAAGGGTGGCTTTAATAGTGTGTGGAAAGGCTGTTTAAAGTTGTATATTCATGTTAGTGTATGGCCTTATTTGGTAATGAGTTGGTCGTCGGTTTCTCCACTGGGCTCATATGAACCTTTGTGTTGGCCGTTGTTTCACAAAGATATAGGGTGAAATCAAGTGTTGCTTGTTAGCAGTTTATGTGTAAAACATTCCACACTGGGGAAAACAGCTGAAAGCCGTTGCTATTCCCATCTGACTAAAACCAATGCCTTTTTTAAGGCAACCAAATATCCAATTACCAAATATTATTTTAAGAAGCCTTTTTTTTTTGCCACATGAAAGCAAATTCCAATGATCAAAGAAGGCCAATAATTGATTGGGTTTATTGATGAAATACATGCATGATAATTAGGACATAACAGCATAACTCATATAAGTATACATCAGTAATGATAAGTTTTGTATAGTTTTGTGTGTGTTTTACCTCATATGTAGCCCAAATATAGACATTGCTTAAATTAAAGTATTATGGATAATCTTTTGAAGGAAAGCTAATGGGTTTAGTATACTAAATGCTGGTGAAAAACATTAATGAGCTGTATAATTTTGATTTGGCGTATCATGTTTTTTTTGGTTTATTCCATCAGATGAGCTATTTCTTTCTTCTTTTAGTTGCGGCCCTTGACCATTTGATCTCCATTGCAAATTTGCAATTGCTTTCTTTACCTCATTTTTGTTCTGTTGGACCATTTATTTTGTGTTGGTTAGCCTTTTGTTTTCTGGTTAAGGTTTCAATTGTGAAATATGTGCAATGAAGTGAAAATATGGATTGGCAGGTATTGCTCAAGAACATTAAGCAACTTTAGTTCGAATGAGTGGCAAGAAGTGACCCATGGAAGATAATTGAGGCTTCAAGATTTGGGTTGGGCGTTTAGTGCTGTTTGTGTTTGGTGGAGTTGATGCCTCATTTGTTACAATTGTTAGATGTCTATTTCCTATGATGTTGGAACTAGCAGCCTTGGAAAAATCAAGTTTCAGAAAGGATGATCATAGTTGAGAATTTGTTAGTTTATACTAATATTTTCGTAAAAGTACTTTGAACTTTGAAGAAGTGAAATTAGACGGTTGAATGTAGCTATTGACTATTGTGTTATGTGGAGTTGTGGAGCCTTTTAGGATTAAAGAGGGTAATAGTATATGATGTTATGTAGTTGGTGCTAATTTATTATTCTTGATGTGATTTATGTTTGGAAATTTTGATTTATGATTCAATCCACCAAACTTATACAATGATATATCATAAAAAGAAACAAAAAAAAAAAAAAAAAACCTGTGACACATTATAAAAAAAAATTAAAAAATTAAAAAAAAATTAAATAAATAAATAAATAATAAATAAAAAATATAAAAAAAAACAATTAAACTAGACCAACAACTTCATTATACATGACTACAATTATAATACAAAAACGTGTCACGTCAAGCAATCAAACTAGTGTATAGAAAGTGATGCATCTTTAAAAAACCGGAGCAAGTATAAAAGAATTAATACATTAAACACTGAATAATATATTATGCACTAGGTAATAAGGTTATAGGGAAACAGGGCTCGTAAACACAAAGTAACACAAACAACCAATGATATCTTGAAGGGCACTTGGTGACGGAGTTTGAGTGATCGACTGATTGGGGCTGGTGATGGCTAATCAATTCAAATTGGTCACAAGCACGTTCAAATCACAAGTTCTTAGCATCTAGTGAGTAGGGAGGGTTGAGTAAGGCACAATATCTATAAAAGTCTTTCAACTACACCAGCATTAAAACATTGTTTTGAGTAACAATTTCAATTTTAAGTTCTCATATTCTCTCTCCTTTCCAGTGACTTGTCAATCGGGTCAAGTTTAAACAGAATCACTATAAAACTCTGGTAACTTTGAAGTTTGAATTGATTATAATAAGAACTACTCCCTCCGTATTTTATTACTAACTCCATATTACAATATTACAAGGAAGATGTTATACATAGTCCTAAGGGCTACATATAAATATTAAATGTACTCTTTAGAAAATTGTTTAAATTTTAATAAATCATGACAAAAACACACTAATTACACTGATTTGCGCGCGTTTTTGTCATGAATTCCTAATTTAATACTATTTTCAAGTGTGTATTTAAGGCTTATATGTAGCCCTAAGGGTTATGTATAGCATGGGGGTGCCCCCAGTTTAAACAAGAAGAGTTTCTCTAGTGGCAATTGTGTAATAAAAACGCTTATGGCCTGTTTGGTATGGAGCATTTCGTTTGAAATGCTGGAATTGGATCAAACACCTTGTTTGGGTAATCCAAAAAATTTAGAATTGGAATTGGCCCAATTCCAACCCACTTAAACTTAAGTTTATTTTTCATAATTTGAAATCCATCAAAAAAGTCTGTCATTTGAAATCCAAAAAAGTAACGACAATGCATCTTTCTCTCTCCTCGTGCTTTCTCTCTCTTCTCATGAGCTTTCTCTCTCTTCTCGTTCGCTCTCATTGCTTGTTTGCTAGGAATTTGTGCGGAACCACATCTCTCTACAAGGGTTGTTCAATTTGTTTAGCTTGAATTTGTTATGTTATTGGTTAATTTCTGAGAAATTTAGGTTTTATTTTCTATAATCTTAGGTTTAATTGTGTTGGATGTTCTTGGTAATTTTCTGATTTTCCTTCAGATTTTATTTTTTTCCTTTGAATTGGCCTAACTTTCCTCCAAATTGGCCCAATTTTCTTTCTATTATGTATTTTTTTCCAATTGATTTCGAAGTTATATGCATGCTTTGATTGATCTGTAAATTATTTATCTAATGAGTATTTGGTATGTTTATTTCATTCTTGATAGTTTCTAAATTTGTGTAAGATTATCTTTAAACCCTAAAATCCTTAATTAATTGTTGAAATCAATTGTTTACTGCAAAGAAAGGAGCAATTTTGTTCTAGACATGTTGCTGCTAGTAAGCTAATAGTGTAATTTCCAAGGAGTCTAAATTCCAAAGGACAAGACAAAGTGTTGTGAATAGGTTCGTAAAACAATAGATTCGATGAGTTCAATATGATTAAAAGATGTATCGAATTAGCAGAGTTAGTCTAAATTTTATATGTAATGATGAATTGATGATGATTAGTAGATTTGTTTAAGTGTGAGTGAACTTGAATTACAACTTTGATGTAAGTATGTTGTATTTTTGTGGTGATTTTATTAGCATAATTTGCCTTTGTTTGAAATTCTGGATTTGAAATACATTGTATTACCAAACATCTTATTAGCATTTGAAATTCCAAATTCCAAATTCACAATTTCCCAAACAAATGACTTGGAATTGAATTCTAGCAATTGAAATTCTGGAATTGAATTTCACTATTTGAAATGAAATAAGAGTATCCAAACGCAACCTTAGAGAATTGTAGACAAATAGTATCATAATCTGAATATTTTGACTGTGAGTTCCACTGATCTGGTGAGGTGGACCATTGTAGACAACATTAGATGGTGAAATTAACAAGTTTGTTCAACATTCATCGTCACCAGCGGGAACCAACAAATCTGATCAGAGGGTCAGTCATAGAAGTCGAACGAAATTGTTGTGTCGGTTGTGTCATTGTATGTAGTAGTCTCCAGATCTGAGGTGGGCTTGAGGTGGGCTTGATTATTCCAGATCTAAAGGTTCATCTTTCACCTCCACCGACAACACCATCATCTTCCTCTTTCGTCTTTCACCTCCACCGACAACAAACACCAACACCATCTTCTTCCTCTTTCATCTAGATCGTCTCCACCGACAACAACCACCATCATCGACGGAAAACATAGGCGGCTTCGCCGCTAAAATTAAATTAAAAACCCTATAAGAAAGGGTATGGCTGGTCAACCCAAAGGGTAAGGGTGACCGTCCTCCATTGAAGCTTTGCCACCAAAGCTTGAATTCCTCCATTGAATTTCGCCGCCAACGAAAAATCCTAAAAAAATTATAATAATTAAGGGTATATTTAACCCCTTATGGATAGGTGTTAGACGCTTGTGAGCTTTCCCTCCATTGAAGCTACTACATACGAAGTCTGCACCACTTCAACAACAACAATGCTATCGATCACCGCCGCAAACGGCACCGCTTTGGGCTAGTAGGTAACTCTCAAGGGGGTAACTCTAAAGGGGGTAAAAATTACAAGTTAAAACACTTAACGTTCCGTCAAAATTAAGAATTAACGGCTTTTGTCAATGAAAATATGCAAAACAGACCAAATTACCCATATAAGAAACACTCCTTGTTTCTCAAGAAGAGAAACTACATTCCATACTTTCAATCCTTAATTTGTGTTAACTCTAGTTTTAATTAGAAGGGAGTAAGAGAGCCAACATTAAACATGTGGAGTATTATCCTGGTATAACCAACTATTAGTCTATTACGGTCTAACCTAATTAGAGCATCATATTTCATTATAAAAAAAACAAAAAAAATTAAAAAAAAAATGTTGGAGCATTACGTTATTCTATTGCCCCCTATCTTCGAAATACATATTCGGTGGCATGACATTAATTATACAAGTTTCAACCTAAACAGAAAACACCATATAACACCAGTTTATGGCTATTGGTTTGGGCTATGTGGTTTCGGGACGTGAGGTAGGTCACAAGGTTGTGACATTAAGTTCACAATGTTGGCCAAAATTGTGGAACTCAATCCAATAACTCAGGGTTCGTTTGGCATTGTTGTGGTTTTCTGTTTTTTGGTTTTTAAAAGTATAGGATATATGTCCCATAATGAATCAAAAATTATTTAAACATATTAAAATTATAATAATTTTGAAAACTGACAACAGAAAAGTGAAAACACCTTTTTCTTGTTTCTTGTTTTTGGTTTTCAAAAAAAAAGGAAACTGAAAACAAAAATGATGCCAAACAAGCTCTGAGGTTTCAATTTCTTATAAATGTTTTAATCACACAAGAACAAGTTGGCAGGCCACGACAGGTTCAAGTCAAGTTTCCCGTCAAAAAAAGAAAGGTTCAAATCAAGTTTGACCCACAGATTTACTGGTTAAACAGTTTGAGATTAATTCGAGTTTTGGGTAAAAAAAAAAGGTGGTTCAAAATCCACTATGTAGGTCAGGTTTGCCAATCAGGTCAAAAATTGATAGGTCCAAACCAAATGATACAGGAGATCCCATTAACTTTTTGTGCTGGATCGTATCAACATGGCCAAGATCACATGACCTTTCTCTGTCAAAATTCAGACAAACCACAATTCTATTTAAGAATACAAAATGCAGGCAACATAAAATCACAAGGTAGAAGATAAATAACTCATGTCATAATCTAAAACATCACTTTATAGAAGTTTAAAAAACATTTGAACAAAATTTCCATGAAATGTGAAAACCGCCCTAGATTATAGATACCTAGCCTACACCTTGATGGCATACTTCCTCATGGGATAGTACCTCTCCCTCTTCTTCTCCCTTTCGGTCTTCAAAGATGCCTGCAGAAAGAAAGAAGAAATCATAATTAGAGACCTACAAGTCATAACTTCCAAAATATAAGCCAATTAAACAGTGAAATAAAAATTCTATTGTCCTATGCCAGAACCAAAAAAGGGAAGAAAAATATTATGAATATGATTACATCACTCCTCTAAACCATAAACTGTTTGATGAGGCATATGCAAACAGCAACAATGTCGCAACAGCTAATCAAGTTAAACAATGGAATCATGCACTCGAGGTTTTCTTTTAAAAAACAACGGTAAGGAGAAGAACCCTGACCGAACCATAATAGTTATCCGCAAGCAAGAGAATTAACATCAGAACTATCATGCCTACAAACTTTGACACGACTTTTTTCTTATAAAAAAATTATTTGGTAGAAATTATAATAACTGCCACAACTCCCTCCATTATAACATATATCCAACGATGCAATTTAGAATGATTACAACCGTCCTAAATGTCTAATACTCGTATTATATGAGCTTCTAAAGCTCCTCTATCTATGACAAGTTTTATTGACAAGTAATGTACTGTAGCCTTTTAGCACTGCACTTAGCTCACATCAGCTTACATCTCTAAACTCAACTCCCTAACTTTTCTCTTATAAATTATCCCTTCTTAATTAAGGCTCGTAATCTT